GTTATTAAGTCGCTTTCCTAAAGACAATATTTGTACCTATCAAAAGGTGTGCAGGGGTTTATAACAAATTTGCCTCCAGGATACAATGAAGCCTGATCTAAAGATCTAGTCTATCGGCGTCTGCACTGACGACAATAGATCAGAACACTCTTGATATAATCAAGAAACCAAGACACTGATAATCAAATCTGCAGAACTTGATTATCAATAAGAAAAACAAAAATTTTCTTAAGAAACTCTTGATCAAAAATTCAAAATCAAGAGGGAGAGATAGAGAGAGAGACAGAGAGGGAATGCTTTTCAGGATTTTGAATGGAATGAAATGGCTGATTTCGTAGCCTATTTATAGGTCTTAATGGATCTGATCGAATGGTCATGTCCCTTGATCACATCCGATCAGATCTGACGGTGAACTGAACAAGGTAACAGTGAAAAACAAGTACTCATTACCTCGTATTGATGATTTATTTGACCAGTTACAGGGTGCCCAGGTTTTCTAAAAAATTGACCTTAGATTCGGATACCACCAGTTGAAAGTCAAACCAGAGGACATTGAAAAGACTGCCTTTCGAACGAGGTATCAACATTACGAATTCCTTGTTATGCCTTTCGGAGTTACTAATGCACCTGCTGCATTTATGGACCTTATGAATAGAATTTTCAAACCATTCTTTGATGAATTTGTAGTTGTTTTCATAGATGACATTTTGATTTATTCCAAAAGCATGGAAGAGCATGAACATCATTTGAACATTGCCTTACAGACCTTAAGAGAACGGAAACTGTATGCAAAACTAACGAAGTATGAATTTTAGTTAGACAATGTAATGTTTTTGGGACATGTGATCAGTAAGGATGACATTTCAGTTGACCCACAGAAGATTGAAGCAGTAATGAATTGGCCCAAATCGTCTAATTATACTGAAGTCCGAAGTTTCTTAGGCTTAGCCGGATACTACAGAAGATTTGTGAAGGACTTCTCCAAAATTGCCCTACCGTTGACTCAGTTGACTTAAAAAGGGATATCATTTGACTAGACTGACCAGAGAGAATCAGCTTTTCAAGAGTTAAAGACTCGACTTGTGACACCGATTCTTACCCTACCCTCAGGTACGGATGGATTTACCATATTTAGTGATGCTTCTTATAAGGGTTTGAGATGTGTATTGATGCAGAATGGTAAAGTTATTGCATATGCTTTCCGACAACTGAGACCGCATGAAAAGAGCTACCCAACCCATGACTTAGAACTTGCCGCAGTGGTATTTGCATTGAAAATCTGGCGTCACTACCTTTATGGGGCAATGTGTGAAGTGTATACAGATCACAAGAGTTTGAAATATTTCTTCTCACAGAAATAATTGAACATGAGGCAGCGGAGATGGTTAGAACTGATAAAAGATTACGACTTGGAAATTTTGTACCATCTGTGGAAAGCTAACACCGTTGCCGGTGCACTGAGTCAGAAATTAATTGGAAATTTAGCTTGTTTACTCACCGGGTGGAAAGAATTGTTATGTGACCTTGAAAAATTTGAAATTGAGATTGTTTTACGTGAACAAGGTGGAACCTTAGCCGCTATTTCTGCTCAACCGACACTGATTGAGGAGATTAAAGAGAAACAACAATATGATGACTTTTTGAAAAAGGTCATTGATGAACAGGAGTCCAAACCGAGGTCGGACTTTAAATTTGAGAACAATGTGTTGAAATTCCAGGGAAGGTTGTGTGTACCGAATGATTCTGAATTGAAAAGACGAATTCTGCAAGAGGGCCACAATTCGAAACTGTCTATCCATCCAGGAAATACGAAAATGTACTAAGACTTGAAACTGAATTTCTGGTGGTCGGGAATGAAAAAAGAGATTGCTGACTTTGTATCGAAATGTCTTTATTGCCAACAAGTTAAAGCTGAACATCAACGACCCGCAGGCTTACTGCAACCCTTACCAATACCGGAGTGGAAATGAGAACATATCACTATGGATTTCATTGTTGGTTTACCTCGCTCTAGTAAAGGTATGGACTCAATTTGGGTTATTGTTGATAGATTGACTAAATCTGCTCACTTCTTACCTGTCAAAACAATTTACAATACAGACAAATTGGCTATAATTTATATTGATGAGATTGTTAGATTGCATGGAGTGCTTGTGTCCATTGTTTCTGATAGGGACTCGAAGTTTACATCGAGATTTTGGCAAAACCTACAGACAGCATTGGGTACTGAACTGAGACTGAGTAGTGCATACCATCCTTAGACAGATGGCCAGTCAGAAAGAATCATCCAGACTCTGGAAGATTTACTGCAAATGTGTGTCCTTGATTTCCAAGGAAATTGGGAAAGCCACTTACCTTTAGCCGAATTTGCCTACAACAACAGCTTTCACTCGAGCATTGGTATGGCGCCTTTCGAGGCTTTGTATGGCAGAAAATGTCGATCTCTTATTTGCTGGGCAGAAGTTGGAGATGGACCTTTGCTTGGCCTCGAAATTGTACATGAGACTACCGAAAAAGTGAAACTAATTCAACAGAAACTGAAAACCGCACAAAGCCAACAGAAAGTTATGCGGATGTCCGAAGGCGAGACATGGAATATAAAGTAGGTGATCATGTTTTTGTTAAAGTAACACCAATGAAAGGTCAGACCCGTTTTGGGATTAAGGGTAAGCTAGCGCTGAGATATGTCGGGCCGTATGAAATCATTGAAAAGATTAATCCGGTGGCATATCAAGTAGCGCTTCCTCCTGAAAGGGAGCATATGCATAATGTCTTCCATATTTCAATGTTGAGGGGTTATCTTCGGAATCCCTTCCATGTGATCGAGCCTACCCATATAATGCTAAGTGATGACTATACTTATGAAAAATGGCCTATTCAGGTTGTAAACCGACGAATCAAGAAGTTGAGGAATAAAGAAATTCCGTTAGTGAAAGTGGACTGGTGAAACCATGGTGGCGTCTATGTCACTTGGGAAAGTGAAGACGATATGATGAAGAGATATCCTGAATTGTTCCCACTGAATTCAGTATTCTTCCAAAATGAAGGTAATTCGAGTTTGGAGGACCAAACTCTTTTAAGGAGGGAAGACTGTGACAACCCTCACCTTTGATTAGTGCTAATCTATGATGAAGAGATATCCTGAATTTGCGAATTGAAGGTCTTATCGGCGACCGAACCAGAAATTGATTAGTGTTATATGTTAGTTAGAACTAATGTGATTTTATGGTAGGTTTAATTAAAATTCGATTTGGAACGATTAAATTAGATTAAATAAAGTTAAATTATATTAGTTGCAATATTTACACAATTGCCACTTAGTGGCTTGATTCAAGACCATTCTTTTTCTACTTCACTCATGTTTGATATGCCATCCATTTTATCTTGGAGACCAAACATGAGAGAGAGAGAGAGAGAGAATTGGAAGGAAAGAATTGATTCAACAAAGTTTGGCTTGGAACTTAGGAGAAATTGAAGAGAGATTGTGTAATTGAAGCTTCAATACTTGGAATTCAAGACCTAAGGTAGAGAATTCATCATTTGGTTTACGTAGTTAAATTGTTTCTTGCATGGTTCGTGATAAATTAGTGATCTAAGTCAAGAATTGGTTTAAAATGTTGAATTGAGAGTTAATCCTTGCATGCATGTGCATATTCTTGAATTTTGGAGTTGTTTCATGAGAATTTTCACATGCAAGTTCATATTTTTGTTATGGTCCATGAATTCATCATGATTTTGAGCTCAACATTGCATTTGATCTTGTTTTGAAACACTAGAGTTCATGAGAACTCATGCATGTATGATCTTGCAATGTTCTTCGTGCTTACACTTAATTTTTGTGTTCAATTGTCTTACCTTTGGGCTTGATTTTACAAATGATCTTCAAAAACATGTTATACTATGAGTTTCTAAGAGTTTTCCAGAAAATTAGGCCAAGGGGATCGAATTTGAAGCTTTAAAAGTTGAATTTCATACTTGAGATTAAATTTGAAAATTTCAGATATTGGACCCACGCTTGAGTGTAGGACTTCACGCTTGAGCGTGCACTCTGAGTCATGCACCTCCGCTCGAGCGTGGAAAGTCACGCTTGAGCGTGAAATGCATATGCCCAGAAGTTCATGTGTTTTACAGTCCGCTCGAGTGAGAAAGTTCACGTTCGAGCGAGGACCTGAGTCTCACGCTTGAGCGGGGGTCGAGCGTCTGTCGAGCGTGAATTGCATGCATCCAGTACTTTTCACGAAGTTTGCAGTCTGCTCGAGCGTACGAAGTCATGCTCGAGAGGAGCTCCTTTGTTTGCATGTCCACTTGAGCGTAGAAAGCCACGCTCGAGCGTGGACTCCTGTTTCAGCAAATTTTGAGAAGTGTTTTAAAGTGTATCCTTCCATCCTCTTTCCATCCTAGGCATTCTTAGGCCATGTTTAAGACATCTTAATGATGATATTGACGTAGAACCACACCGAGTCAAGATAGGGACTAAGTTGTTGATTCCCGAGTGTGTAATTTAGTGTGTGTTCGTTCTATAATTCTTTAGGGTTGGCACCCGAGGACGCCCACCAGCTGCTTATAGCCCAGTGCTCTGTGAGTAACAATGTTGTAAAGATATGTTCGATTATGATTATCTTTTGTATGATCAACTGTTTCGCTTACTGAAACGTTATTGTTTAATGAATGAATGTTGTCCGATTTGTAAACCGTGTTCGTGGATTCCATAGCAATTTACTGTTACTGTACTGTTACTGCTACTGTCACAGAGATCTTTGTTGGTTCTCATGTTTGGAACCACTACTGTTTACTGTTATGATGGCCGTCAACTGACTGTTCGGTCTGTTAAGACCTACTGTACTGCTTTGCTATTAGATGTACTACATATGACTGCTATGGTTTCTAAATGATTAATATGACTGTTTAACTACTGAAAGGACATTCATTCTTAACCTCTTTACATAACTGTTATTCACTAGGTTTTAGCTCACTATTTATATATATATATATATATGTAGGTGTCCAAGCACCAGACCGGAGCTAGGAGCATCGGGTTAGCTCTTGTTTTGTCAAGCCAACCTTTGTGTCTCGCCTCGAGGTTTCAAGTCCGTTCAAGCTACGGCTGTTTTGGGATATTCGGATTCACCCTTCTGTTTTTGTTTTGTAATAGATGTTATAGACTCCTACTGTACAGTTATGGCATAGGGATTGAATCCCTAACTTGTATGTATGTATATCTGGTATGTAAATGTGTTTTGGTTACGAATGTGACTTGTTCATAAAATTCTTTTTGCATTCAGACTGTCACAACTCATTGGACATATTTTATTTACTGTTTTGGCTTCCGCCAGCCTCTTTACTCTGTATTACTGGCATTACTGTTAAGCAAGCCTTCGGTAATCACGGATTACTGGCCGGTTACGGTGCTAAACCCATAGGGGCGGGTTTAGGTCGTGACAGAGTGGTATTAGAGCGATATCAAACCACGAGTTATACCGCACACACGTGTCCAAATGAGCTATAGGATGTCCTAAAAAAGTAATTAGGGAATTGCATGAGCATGAGAAAGTGTGTGTGGCCATGACATGAATATATGTGCTAATGTGCTAATGTGTTTAAGTATGTAACTGCCTATGTTTACTATTACCATATTGCCTATAGTGAAATAGACAATGCATGAAATGCTGATGAATTTGAATCATCTGAGACAAGGATGGCAAGATTAGAAAGAACAGTTGAACTCTTGACTGAGGCCTTGAGGCTACAACAGAACCAATAGTCCCCACCTCCTCCAGTTCAACCGGAGCAAAATGTTAATAAGGATATAATTGCCTTGATACAGAAGTTCAGTAAAATGAAGCCATCATCCTTTCAGGGAGGCCTTGAACCGTTAAAGGCCGAAGCATGGGTTCTAGAAACAAAGAAATTATTTGAAGTGTTTCCGTGTTCTGAAGCACACAAGGTATTGCTGGCTACCTTTACTTTACAAGAAGAGTCCAGAAGATGGTGGATGCTTGTTCGTGACACTAATACTGCTTTGACTTGGGCCCAATTTAAAGAAGCCTTTTTTGAAAAATGCTTTCCTCAGTGTGTCAGGGATCACAAAGTGACTGAGTTTGAACAGTTGAAACAAGGTACTATATCAGTGACAGAGTATGAATCAAAGTTTACTGAACTCGCCAGATACGCGCCACACATGGTGGACACTGATTACAAAAAGGCCAAGAAGTTTGAAGGCAGCCTTAATGTAGAGATACTTGACAGAATCAATGTGCTGAAGTTACTGAAATATGTGGATGTTCTTAACCGGGCGATAATAGCTGAGTCGAACATCGAGGCATTAAAACAGATCGAAACACCAGCGACTGAATGACGTGGTAAGAGACGGGGTTTTAAGTTTAAGAAAGGCCAAAGCAGCCCATTGAACAAAAAGCAAAATACAGGCTCAACAACCAGTTCTAGCCAGGGAAACAATTCCATACCATCCTGCTTTGAATGTGGGAAAAGGCATAAGGGGGTTTGCTATAAAATCTCTGGTGCTTGTTATAGATGTGGCAAAGTGGGTCACATGGTTAAAGATTGCCCTTCCACTTCTCAAGGCAATAGTAAAGCTGCAGCTAGCGCAGCAGCATCAACTGTTGCACCGAAACCCAATACCAAAGCTATCGGAAAGGAGCCTCTAAGGCAAGGCCGAGTGTTCGTACTTGTACGGGGAGATGTGTAGAATACCGAGACAGTTGTGTCAGGTATACTCTCAATCTGTACTCAAAATGCTTATGTTCTAATTGATTCGGGGTCTATACATTCATATGTCTCGCATGCTTTTTTACGAAAACTAAATAGACCACTGGAACCCATGAATTATTTGTTAGCTGTATCTTCACCTGTTGGGGGATCCATGACTTGTGCTTACATGTACCCTGCATGTGAAATTATTGTTGGGGATGTGCATTTGTATATTGATTTACTGCCTTTGAATATCGATCATTTTGATGTGATATTGGAAATGGACTGGTTAAGAAAATATCATGCTACCATAGATTGTGTAACAAAACAAGTTGTTTTCCGTCCAGCTGGATTGCCTGAATTTGTATTTAACGGAGTTGGTGTAGTGCCTCCCCTATATCTGATTTCGTCTATAAAAGCTTTTAAACTAATTAAGAAGGGATGTAAAGGGTATCTATGTTGTATATTGACTGTACCTACTGATGCTAAAGCTAATGTGGACAGTATTCCCTTAGTTAGAGAATTCCCAAATGTTTTTTCAGATGATTTGCTAGGGGATTTGATTGACAGGGACATTGAGTTCACCATTGATGTGATTTCGGGTACACAACCAGTTTCCAAAGCTCCGTACAGAATGGCACCTACCGAACTGAAAGAATTAAAAATTCAGCTGCAAGAACTGTTGGATAAGAAGTTCATCAGGCCTAGTACTTCGCCATGGGGCGCTCAGTTTTGTTTGTGAAAAAGAAAGACGGCTCATTGAGACTCTGTATTGACTACCGTGAACTGAACAAGGTAACAGTGAAAAACAAGTACCCATTACCTCGTATTGATGATTTATTTGACCAGTTACAGGGTGCCCAGGTTTTCTAGAAAAATTGACCTTAGATTCGGATACCACCAGTTGAAAGTCAAATCAGAGGACATTGAAAAGACTGCCTTTCGAACGAGGTATGGACATTATGAATTCCTTGTTATGCCTTTCGGAGTTACTAATGCACCTACTGCATTTATGGACCTTATGAATGGAATTTTCAAACCTTTCCTCGATGAATTTATAGTTGTTTTCATAGATGATATTTTGATTTATTTCAAAAGCACGGAAGAGCATGAACATCATTTGAGCATTGCCTTACTGACCTTAAGAGAACGGAAACTGTATGCAAAAATAACGAAGTGTGAATTTTGGCTAGACAATGTAATGTTTTTGGGACATGTGATCAGTAAGGATGGCATTTCAGTTGACCCACAGAAGATTGAAGCAGTAGTGAATTGGCCCAGACCGTCTAATGTTACTGAAGTCCGAAGTTTCTTAGGCTTAACCGGATACTACAGAAGATTTGTGAAGGACTTCTCCAAAATTGCCCTACAGTTGACTCAGTTGACTCAAAAAGGGATATCATTTGACTAGACTGACTAGAGAGAATCAGCTTTTCAAGAGTTAAAGACTCGACTTGTGACTGCACCGATTCTTACCCTACCCTCAGGTACGGATGGATTTACCATATTTAATGATGCTTCTTATAAGGGTTTGAGATGTGTATTGATGTAGAATGGTAAAGTTATTGCATATGCTTCCCGATAACTGAGACCACATGAAAAGAACTACTCGACCCATGACTTAGAACTTGCCGTAGTGGTATTTGCATTGAAAATCTAGGGTCACTACCTTTATGGGGCAATGTGTGAAGTGTATACATATCACAAGAGCTTGAAATATTTCTTCACACAAAGAATTGAACATGAGGCAGTGGAGATGGTTAGAACTGTTAAAAGATTACGACTTGCAAATTTTGTACCATCCGGGGAAAGTTAACACCGTTTCCGATGCACTGAGTCGGAAATTAGTTGGAAATTTAGCATGTTTACTCACCGGGCGGAAAGAATTGCTATGTGACCTTGAAAAATTTGAAATTGAGATTGTTTTGCGTGAACAAGGTGGAACCTTAGCCGCTATTTCTGCTCAACCGGCACTGATTGAGGAGATTAAAGAGAAACAGTAACATGATGACTTTTTAAAAAAGGTAATTGATGAACGGGAGTCCAAACGGAGTCCAAACCGAGGCCGGGCTTTAAATTTGAGGCCTCGTTTGGAAATATGCTAATTTAGTAACTTTTTGGCTATTTGACTAAAATTTGAACTAAAAAAAACTAGTATGTTTGGGATGATTTTTTGGCTTTTTCTGAAAAAATATGCAAAAAGTAGAGAGAAAAAAGAATCTTTGACTTTATGGTATGGATTGTTGATTTTTTGACTTTTTTAATAATTTTTTGACTTTTTAGCTAAACCGGCCTGTTACCAAACGAGGCCTGAGAACAATGTGTTAAAATTCCAGGGAAGGTTGTGTGTATCGAATGATTCTGAACTGAAAAGATGAATTCTGCAAGAGGGCCACAATTCGAAACTGTTTATCCGTCCAGGAAATACGAAAATGTACCAAGACTTGAAATTGAATTTCTGGTGGCCGGGAATGAAGAAAGAGATTGCTGACTTTGTATCGAAATGTTTTCATTGCCAAGAAGTTAAAGTTGAATATCAACGAACCGCAGGCTTACTGCAACCCTTACCAATACCGGAGTGGAAATGAGAACATATCACTATGGATTTTATTGTTGGTTTATATCGCTCCAGTAAAGGTATGGACTCAATTTGGGTTATTGTTGATAGATTGACTAAATCTGTTCACTTCTTACCTGTCAAAACAATTTACAATGCGGACAAATTGGCTATAATTTATACTGAGGAGATTGTTAGATTACATGGAGTGCCTGTGTCCATTGTTTTTGATAGGGACTCGAAGTTTATATCGAGATTTTGGCAAAGCCTACAGACAACATTGGGTACTGAACTGAGACTGAATAGTGTATACCATCCTCAGACAGATGGCCAGTCAGAAAGAACCATCCAGACTCTGGAAGATTTACTGCGAATGTGTGTCCTTGACTTCCAAGGAAATTAGGAAAGCCATTTACCATTAGCCGAATTTGCCTACAACAATAGCTTTCATTCGAGCATTGGTATGGCGCCTTTCGAGGCTTTATATGGCAGAAAATGTCGATCTCCTATTTGCTAGGCAGAAGGTGGAGATGGGCCTTTGCTTGGGCCCGAAATTGTACATGAGACTATCGAAAAAGTGAAACTAATTCAACAGAGACTGAAAACCGCACAAAGCCGACAGAAAAGTTATGCGGATGTCCGAAGGCGAGACAGGGAATATGAAGTGGGTGAGCATGTTTTTGTTAAAGTAACACCAATGAAAGGCCAGACTCGTTTTGGAGTCAAGGGTAAGCTAGCACCGAGGTATGTTGGACTGTATGAAATCATTGAAAAGATTAATTCGGTGGCGTATAAAGTAGCCCTTCCTTCTGAAATGGAGCATATGCATAATGTCTTCCATATTTCAATGTTGAGGGATTATCTTCAGGATCCCTTCCATGTGATTTGAGCCTACCCGTGTAGTGCTAAGTGATGACTACACTTATGAATAACGGCCTATTCAGGTTGTAAACCGACGAATCAAGAAGTTGAGAAACAA